ACCAAAGGTTGAACCAGTTTCAATACCTCCTCCATACCAGCTCCTGAGCCTCAGCCAGCACTGGCTGCAGCATAAGAGCCTTCTCCCCTCTCCCAAGAGGACATCTCTTTGGTTTTATTGTAGCATTTTTTCTTGTTTTTTTTTTTTACATCCTTTTGGTTTAGTCTCTCTTAAAATTTAGGTTTCAAATATAATAAGGTTTTATCTTACTCATTTTAAAGTGTGTGATTTGTGGCTTCATATGCTTTCACAGTGCAATTCAACCCTCACCATTCTCTACTTCCAGAACCTTGTCATCGCCGCAAGCAGAAGCCTCCATGCCTATTAAACAGTCACTCCCCATGCTCTTCCTTGCGGCTCATGGCAGTCAGTAATTGGCTTTCTGTGTCTATGGATTTACCTACTCTGAATTTTTTATGTAAATGGAAATACTTGGAAATACTTGACTTTTTTGGTCTTACTTCTTTCACGTAACTTGATGTTTTTGAAGTTCATCCATATTGCAGCACATGTCAGTATCTAATTTCTTTTAAGGCTCATTATTAACCCGTTGTATGGATGGACCACACATTGTTCATCCATTTTTCTGTCGATGGATATTTGGGTTGTTTCTTCCTTTTGACTAATGTGAGTAGTGCTGCTGTGAACATTCGTGTACAGTATTTGCTTGAGTGCCTGTCTTCAGGATAAATCTTAGGGGTTGGTAAAGAGGAGATGGGAAGGGTGAGGACACAGTCCAGGTGTGGGGAGTAAGAGTTGGGAGGGATCAAGAGGCAGACAAGCTATGGGTGGCGAGGAGGTGGGAGGCCTAGAGAACTCCCAGATATAGGTAAAAAGGAGACAGGAGGGGTCAGGAGGTTGCACTGGTGTCGTGAGTGAGGAGGTAGGAGGAATAAGACCCAGTATGGGAAGTGAGAGGGTAGGAGGGGGCCAGGACAACACCACCAGGTGTGGTAATGATGAGGTAGGAGGGGTCAGAGGTGGCCCAGTAATGGCAAGTGAGCACAGTGCAGGGAGTGAGGAGGAGGGACAGCTCAAAGAAGGCACAGTAGAAGGGAAGGGGGTCAGCGGGTGCACAGGTGTGGACAGAGAGGATGTGTGGAGGATTAGGAAGCCACCGAGGTGTCAGGAATAAGGTGGGAGGTGGGGTCAGTAGAAGGCACAGGTGTGGGAGTGAGGAGGTTTAGTAGTGAGGAAGACTCC